AGAGTCGATTCTTTGATTTGAGGAATCTGTCAGCATTAACACAATTAAGAACAGTGTATTTTATTTTTTCGTTATTTCCAGTTAATATTAGTGGACACTTTGCACCACTTCTGGTAATTACTTTCGCATCGCTTTTGTCACCATTGAAACCAATTTTATCATAATTCCACAAATGCACGGCTTTACTAAAATCTAATTATGCTAAATTAAAATGTTTTTTCAAAACATCAAAATAACAGGCAATAATTTCTGGTGTGCATGACTGTTTGTAGCTGTTTTTTCGCTTAGTTCTGAATGCCAGCGACTCTAAATAATATATATATAAATTCTTTGTACTATTTGCGAACAGGCGTTCCATTTTTGAACAAACACGTTTCATCATTTTCAATTAAATAGTCTCTCACTAAACTTTGAACTTGATCTAATCGTCTACCAAAGCCCCAATTGCCAAGCATCTGAAGAAGGTGAACTAAGGTTAACTTGATAAAAGGATTTTATTGTATTGCTACTACCAGCTACTAAAGTCCTATTTGATTTTCTGTCAGATAACATTGATTTTGGTATGCGGTAGAATTAAAGTGCGCCTCTTAAGCTTTACTTCCCATTTTCAATTTTATTCAATTTTTTTATTATCTCAGTGTAAGGCTTCTCATTTGTTTTATTTTTTGCCATTATAAGTTTAATAAATTCAATTCAGTTACTTTTGAAATTGAAGAAACGAAGCACTTTTGTGGTTACTTTGTGTACTTTTGCATTTTAACTTCAACAGTATAAGTGCAAAAGTACAAAATTAATTTACAAAAAAGTGTGAAAACCCAAATGAAAAAATTCAGTCAGTATGAAAAAATAATATAATAAATTAACTTTACATAATAAAAAAATTTAATTAGAGTGAAAAAATAATAAACAGTTTAACATAAGAAATTTTAATTGATTATAGGTAGATTTATTGTGTCCGGTTTAAGGTGAAAACTGAAGAAAATCTTATTTCCATCAACTTTTTAATGGAGTAAGATAATGAAAGTTGAAAACTATTTTTGAAATTAACAGAATATATCTAACAAAATTGCTTTCTTTTTATTTCCTTTTTATAATTTTTAAATTGCCTTTTTAAATCTTTCATGCTAAGAATTTCCAAAAAAAGTTTGATTTTTTAAGTTAAATTTTGTTTGAACTTAGATATCTTATTAGATCAATCATCTGAATAATTTTTTTTTGAAATTTTTTAATTTTCCACACACTAAAAATTAAAGACTTTTTTAAATTTTGCAAATATATTTTTAGTGAAGGTATTTAGTTTTTTCAATAAGTGTCTGCTTTTGCACACTGTCCGGTTTGTGGTACTTTTACTCTATAAAATATTTTTATGTTTTTATTTATGCTTTAAAGAAATATATTTTTTATGTTGTCATACAATAGTCTGTTTTTCCAAAAATAGTCCTATTTTTTAGGCTTCCATAATCTGTTAATTGTTTTTTGTAAAAAATTTCCTGTTTTTTACCAATAACTCTAGGAAACAATTTTAACAATAACACTAGGAAACCTGCAATTTTAAATTTTGCATGAAATAAAAAAAAGTAAACTAGCATATAAAAAGGTTGATTTTTAATTTTTTCTACAGCATGAGTAATGTTTAAGCAATAAATGCAAAAGTAAACAATTTTCTTCAATTCTGACATGGTTAAGTATAATATTTTAATTATGTTCTTCTTGTCTCTTTTTATTTAATCTATTAAAGTGATTTAAAGTGATTTTTTTACTGTTAAATTCTGTGACATTCTTTTTTTCTGTGTACTCTTCATATGGATAACAAGTTGTTATTAGTTTTTCATAATTTTATATCATACTGCGTTTTCGGAAAAAGAAGAAAAAAAAACAAAAAATATCAAAAAGAAAGAATGTTGTCCATGCTAAACCCTCAATCGATGTAGTGGCACTCCTGTGGTAGTAAACAACCAAGATTGTAATTTAACCAGTGTCAGGTTTACACACTAAATAAAAAAGGTAGAAATATCTACCTTTTTTATTTAGTGTGTATATGCATATATAAACATCATCATGGTCAACATGATCATAATCATCATTATCATCATCATTATTATCAAAATCATCATCATTACCATTATCATCATCATCATCATTACCATTATCATCATCATCATTACCATTATCATCATCATCATTATTATCAAGCTTTAGCATTCCTCTTTCTGCTGTTTCTCTAATATAAAAAAGCATCTTCTTTCCTTAGTTAAAGCTCATTCATACCATATGTCATGCACTCTTTAAGTTTACTTACTGTTACCTCTACCATTTTCTTCAGTAGATACTACAGCTCTATATGCTTATACCAAAATCACTTTCATCTTCTCTGTCAGACGTTCAATGCAATATTTTTTCTAATCTCTGTCTAAGATTATGCCTTCTTTTTTTGGCTTGTTAGAGTCACCACAAATCTATCTGATCATCTTTTCTTGCGGCAAATACTACATCATATATGGATATGTAAAGATATTGTATGCCTGCATCTAAATAAATAGCAAACATATATGTTTACATCCATATATATCCATATAATGTATGCATAAAAGCATCTTGGAAGCTTTTATTTTTTTCTGGAATAAAAGTTTGGAAGCTTTTATTGCTTCTCTTCAATTTTAAATCAAGCCTAGTTCAACTCCATCTTTTTCACTATCTAAGCAGTTGCTTTATTAAACATTTTTTTCATCTTTTTTACAAGAACATCTTTTGATTTAAATAATAAAAATGACTGATGATTGCCAAAAGACATGAAACTTTAAGTACCATGACAAAGTTGTATTTTTTCAAACAATCTAACACAATTTAAGAGACTCTGTATGTTAATATGATACAATAAACAATAATGCACACACACACACACACACACACACACACACACACACACACACACACACACACACACACATATATATATGTGTGTGTGTGTGTGTGTGTGTGTGTGTGCATTATTGTTTTATTGTATCATATTAACATACAAAGTCTTTTGCTCGTTTAAGAGTGATCAGTATAATGTAAATTGTTTACAAAATAGATCAGTATTAATATATACAGTTTAATAAAATATATTTGGTTCTATAAAAAAGTTGTACTTTTATATATATATATATATATATATATATATATATATATATATATATATATATATATATATATATATATATTATATATATATATATATATATATATATATATATATATAAGTACAACTCGTTCTACCGTAAAATTTTGATTCGTTTTTTAAACGTTAATTTTTAATTTTTAATTTGTAATTAATAGCTGATGATTGCCGAAAGGCACGAAACTTTAAGTACTATTATAATGTTGTTTTTCTTCATTTAAATAATATAATATATATATATATATATATATATATATATATATATATATATATATATATATATATATATATATATATATATATATATATATATATATATATATATATATATATATATATATATATATATATATATGAAGAGTGTATTTTCAAAATGCGGTATATCCATTTTTGTGGTATTGAGATAATTGACTTTTTTTGCCACACCAACATGTCTTGTATATTTTGAAAAATTATTGTTTCCTAATGTATATATACATAAAGTATATTATATAATGTTAATAAATAAAATATTGTTAAATAAAAAAATTTATTTTTTTTGTCAACAAGTTTGCATTTATTTTCAAAATACTGTATATCCAATTAAAGCTTGTTAGCAAAATGCGGTATATCCATTTTATAAAGATGTTATGGAAAGTTTTTAAACTTTAAAAGACCTGAATAAGTTTTAATGATTAATTTTAGTTAACATATTGAACAAATATGTGTATTTAATGTTTGGTCATTATATTTTATTGATAATGTGAATGTAAACAATGTTTTATAAAAGTAATGTAAACTATTACATTTCACAATTCGCAATTGTAAATTTATATTTGTTTCGGAGAGTTAAATATGGACAATAAACAATAATATTTTTTTAGTGTTGTGTAGTTGTAACAATGATGATCACTATTTTTAAGTCTCCATAGAACTAATGGACAATTAATATAACATAAAAGTCATCGTTATATTTTTGAACGAAATAAAATTTTAAAAATGAAAGACTGCAATAGCCTCGTTTTATTTGCAACAAAGCAATTGTCGGTTTAACAAAAAATAAAAAGGAAGTATTATTATTGAATGCTTTCCATTAAAAAACAGGTAACAAATATATTTAAACTTATTAATTTAAGTTGCCTTTTTAATATATTTTCTATCATTATTCCATAATTCGTTCAGTTAAACAAACAAAGCATGGTAGTTTAAACGAACACTAGAATTAAGAAATGCTTTTCTTTTCTTTTGTTTCATACATCATATCTTTTTTTCTATGTGAAATAGGATATTAGGTAACGCATTAATCTTGTCCATCGCAATCCGCCATTTCTTTAACGCAACTTAAAAATATTTGCGCTTGCGCAGAAGTAATATACATTTGCCACGGATTGGTCAAAGTTAAATACCGCATTTTGAAAACAAATAAAAAATTTTGTTTTTTAGAAGTAAAAAAATATTGGGTTATACTTCGTTTAGCATATATTCGGACACAATGTCTGCTAGGTCCTTATAAACTAAAAAAAAAACCACACAATTTCTAAAAAAATTTTAAAATGGCGTTTACCGCGTTTTGAAAATAAACTCTTCATATATATATATATATATATATATATATATATATATATATATATATATATATATATATATATATATATATATATATATATATATATATATGCACACTTTTTTACAGAACCAAAATTTTTATGCCTATTGCTAATCATCAGTCATATATAATGGCTAGTAGTTGCATGTTACTTCTGTAACTTGCAGCTAAATATTTACAGAAGTAATTTAATACATATATATTAAGTTACTTCTGTAAATATATATATTTTTTCTTTACATTTTTATAAAAAAGGGAATTCAAGGAACAGAAGTAGCAAAAGAGGCATCTGATATCATTCTGACAGATGATAAGTTTACAAGTATTGTAAAAGCTGTTATGTGGGGAAGAAATGTTTATGATAGTATTTCTAAGTTTATTCAGTTTCAATGTACAGTAAATTTTGCTGCAATATGGATTTCAATAATTGGCTCAATTGTTTTATCAGTAAGCATTTTGCTTTGCAAAGTTGTAGTATTTTTATATTTTTATTTTTTGTTCTGATTTCTTTCTTTATATTTTTACATTTTAATCTGAGTTGTACATTTTATATCATTGATGTTTTTATAATTTGAGTTGTACATTAATTTTTTTATACTATCTTTTATTGTGCAATATTTTCTTTGTGAATTAATGCATTTTCGTTTTTTAATTTTTTATAGGTAAGCCCTTTAAGTGCCATGCAGCTGCTATGGATAAATTTAATTATGGATTCATTTGCCTCACTTGCTCTTGCAACTGAACATCCTACAGTTGAACTTTTAAAACGTAAGCCATACGGACGCACTAAATCTCTTATTTCTCATTCAATGATTCGCTTTATACTTGGCCATGGATTCTATCAACTTATCATTATTCTAATTATTACCTTTCGTGGTCATATCTTGTTTGACATTCAATATGGTTTCACTAATCCTCATATACCATCACAACATTTAACTATCTTATTCAATACATTTGTTATGTTGCAAATCTTTAATGAAATTAATGCAAGAATGGTGCATGGTGAACGTAATGTTTTCAAAAACATTTTTGAAAACAAACTTTTTAGTATCATAGTCATTGGAACAGTTATTGTGCAGGTAAATATTTGTTTTGTTTGTTTTGAACTGTTATCATGCAGGTAAATATTTGTTTGTTTTAAACAGTTATCGCGCAGGTAAATATTTGTTTTGTTTGTTTTGAACAGTTATTGTGCAAGTAAATATTTGTTTTGTTTGTTTTGAACAGTTATCGTGCAGGTAAATATTTGTTTTGTTTGTTTTGAACAGTTATCGTGCAGGTAAATATTTGTTTTGTTTGTTTTGAACTGATATCGTGCAGGTAAATATTTGTTTTGTTTGTTTTGGGTTATTTACATTTTTAATAATAATCTATTGCAATAAAAGTTTCAATAGTGGTAACTATGTGGCAACCAGTTTCAATAGTAGTACTATGTGGCAACCAGTTTCTCAGATAACTTTTTCTTCCTCAGATGTTTAGATATCAATCAGATATTAAAATATCTGAGTTAAGTGCTTAAAATAATGAAGAAATTAAACATCTATACATATGTTTGTAAATTGTATGTAAATTATGTTAGAGTACAAATAAAGTAATGTTGTTAAAGAACAGAAGTTCATCAGGAAGCTTCCTGATGAATCTACTGAAGGAGAAACAAACTGTCCTGAAAAAATTAGATTCTAAACTAAAGTGATAAAATCTTTTACTGCGGATTAAGGTCTGTATAAAATTCAAAATGTCAAGCTAAATTAGCTATAGGCTTTTCAGTACGTATATTGACTGAAATTTTTTATTTCACGTTAATGCCTAAAAATGCAACATGTCAAATCAACATGTTTTGCTGCAAAACAATAATGTAAATTATTTTGAAAATGAGGTACAACCATGACCATCTTAATTTTGGCAAAAATAAAATACTAAAATTTAATGGTTGGTTGTGGTTTTTTAAAGATTCTGAAATACCGTCATTAGTTCAAATAAATCATCACATAATAAATGCTCTAAATCTTGTTTAAAAATTAAATGACCTTGAAGTTAATTTATTGTACTTAATTCAAAACAAATAAAATCTTGTTTTTAATGAAAACCATAGCTACTGTTCTCAATATATGAATCTAATGGTTTTATCAAAACTATGTATTTGTAACTTGTTAAGACACCTCAGTTGTTCTATAGAATTTCATAGTTTCTTTAAACAAACTAAAAATAAATCAAGTTCACTTCAAGTACTTCACTTAGTATTATGAAATATTTATAAAGTATTTTTAATATATAAACAAGTTTATTTTCTAGATGAATAAAACATAATGTTATGCACAACAAACAAAAAATAATTTTTTCAAATATCAATCTTACAAGACTACATATTAGTATTTTAAGATTTTTAACAAATATTTTAATCTAAATTAAACAAATATTCATTTTTAATAAAAATTGATTTTTTTTTTTTTTTTTTTAACACTTAAGTAATTAATATAAACCATTCATACTGATAAAATTATTTGCCTTAAACTAAAGTACCACAAACTTTTATAGTAAGATCAACATGAACCAACTTGTCATTTGTCATTTTGTGTTGCTTGTTGTTTACCGTTGTTCTTTATACATATATATATGTTCTCCCTTGTTGTTAGTCATAGCTCTTTATATGTGTCGCTTGTTGTTTGTCATTGTTCTTTATATATGTATTGTGTTGTTTGATGTTTGTAATTTTTATATGTAAGTGTTATGTCACTTATCATTGTTTTTTATATTCCTTCCTAAGGTTCTAGTTTATAAGTACGATCAATTAATGGTAACACTGCATTTTTTTTTCTTCCTAAGGTTCTAGAACCATTAATATAACCGTTACCATAGCGTAATCGTTTCCCTGTACACAGTTTATAACAGGATATTTTCTGTACACAAGTTATAACAGTATATTTTCTGTACACGGGTTATAACAGGATATCTTTTGTACACACGTTATAACAGGATATTTTCTGTACGCAGTTTATAACAGGATTTTTAAAAAAATCACTGTTATCGTAACAGTTTTCCGCTCAGAGTTATTAGAAATGGTAGACAACATGTTAGTAATGGGAAAAGTTCGTCCATAAATTATGCAGCGCTAAATTAATTTTAAAAATAGATGTAGGAGATCATTTGCTGGGACCGCCTAAAAAGCCAAATTCTAAAATGCATAAATGCAGAAAAAAATAGCGTAATAATAGACCTGTGGTAACTGTAAAAAAAGACAACAAAAAGTTATGTATTGAATTTTCTATTGCGCATTTGCAAACGAAAAAGTTTAAAAGGACATGAATTTTAAAGACTTAAAGTATCTAACATGGAGACGAAAAGCTATAAGTAAAATAACAAAGATTACTTTATATTAAAGTAAAATTTAAATTAAAAAAAAAACTTCTTAAAAGTTTAAAAAATATATATTTTTATCTCTTAATTTTTTTTTTTTTTTTTTTTTTTTCGTTCAATTAAAGGCTCTACGAGGAAAACTTTACATCTTTTTTTGTTTTGTTAATTGATTAAATTTAGCGTTGCGTAATTTATGGACGATAAAAAAAAATTGTTTTTTAGATGATTCTTGTTGAGTTTGGTGGTAGCGCTCTAGCTGTTCATCCTTTAAGTATTGATCAGTGGTTTTGGTGCATATTTCTTGGATTTAGTGAACTTTTATGGGGACAAGTAATAATAACTATGCCGAAGTTTGCCAAAAAAATTTTTCATAATTTATTTCGATAGGAAGTTTAAAAAAAATTTTAATAGGGTATTTTTTAAATGAATTTTTTTTTTCTTTTTTCACATTTTTTTTATTTATTTATTTTTCATTTCGGTTATTTATAATTTTTAAACTTAAAATTACGATGACGCAATTTTATTTGAAGTTTGTTTCTATCATTTTACCTACAGATTTTTATTACACAGTTTTTAGAGTTGTTGTTTTTTTATATATATAATTTTTTTATGTTTTTATTTCTTTTGTTGCTTTAGTAACTATTTCCAACAAATTGTTAATTTTTTTTTTATAAAAAACTTAAAGTTTACAAACTATTTAAAAAATTGAATTTTTTTTTATTGCTTAATATTTGAAATGTTTCTTACATAAACGAAAAAATGTTAGTAAAATGAAATGTCAAAATAAAAGTGAGAAAAATCTTCAAAAACGTTTATATGTTGTTTCACAGCTTGCGAAAAGCACAAATGAAAGTTTTATTTGAATAAAAATTTAAAACTTTAGTTAAATCTCTTCAAATTTTCTGATGTTTTGTAGCGCGTTGTATAATTTTGTAGATGTTGAAGAATAATAAATTTGTAGATGTTGAAGAATAATAATTTTAAAGATGGTGAAGAATAATTTTAAAGATATTTGAATGATGTTGAAGAAGAAAGTTGTATAATAATTTTGAAGAAACGCGTTTACAAAAATTTATTTTATATATTGCATATTTTCTCGTTCAGTTCGAAATAATATAATAGTAATTTTTTTACTTTATTTATGTTCTCTTTTTTTAAATTTATGGGTTTTTTTCGTTTTTTTAATTAATTTATTCAACCACAACACTAAAAACTACAAATTTAATTATTATTTACAAAATTAGATTTGGTTTGGTGTTCACTCATATATTTAGAAACTAATCAATGGTGACGCCTTAACAAAATAAACAAATAAAATAAAAAAATATCAAGAAAAGGAAATAAAGAGAATAAACTAGGGTAGAATGGGTAGAAGTGAATCATCGATCCCATAGCTAAAACGGACCAAGGAAATGGCGCCAAAACTTTACCAAGTAATCATTGGAAAATAGTTATCGAGACAATCCAACTTTTTACCGTGTTTTAGTGCGGGTGTTTTTTACAATCCAACTTTTTACCGTGTTTTAGTGATTTAGACAATCCAACTTTTTACCGTGTTTTAGTGCGGGTGTTTTTACCGTGTTTTAGTGCGGGTGTTTTTACCGTGTTTAGTGCGTAAGCAGTGTATTTCACTTTTTTCGGCGCAAAAGTAAATTTTTGGTACTTTTTGAAAGTTCTTTAATAAACACATTTGCCATTTCAAGACATCAGGTAGTTATAAAAAAATCCAGTTGCACAGCTTGGGGAGGAACGAGCCATTTCTTCATGGGTAGCAGTGAACTGCGGCTCACTTGTATTTAATGTAAGTTTTACGTTAAAAAAAGTGTTGTCGTTTTTCGTAAGAACATTATCGAGTTTGTTTTTAAGTATTTCAAATGTTACAGCTTGAATGTATAAAAGAACTACTTTAAAAGCAAAAACTTCCGGTAAAGATATGAAAGAAGCATTCATTTTAATCCAAAAAGGAAAAAGTATTAGAGATACAGCAAAAACTTCCAACATTCATATGAAACGCTTTGTCATTATTGGAAAAAAAAGCTGGTTGATGAAAATACTCCGAACTATTATATTAAAAGAATATTTATAGATAAGCAAGAGTTAGAACTGAAGGAATATGTTCTGCTCAATAATGTTTTAAGGCCTTTCAATAAAAGAATGTCGATATATAGCTTTTGAGCAACTAATAATAAAACTAATATTCCACAAAAGTGCTACAAGGATTCAATGGCAGGCATTGAATTTGTGAACAATTTTAAAAAACGAAATCCAGATTTGACCCTTAGAACAGCTGAAGGATGTTCTCTTTCTAGGGCAACATCATTTAATGCTCATATTGAAGCTATTTTTTTACAAATTAAAAAAAGGTTTTTGCAAGATCAATAACATTCACAAATGGAACACGGATTTTTAACCTTGATGAAACTGGAACTGTGCAGAACCCACATGGTAATTATGGCAATTTTCAATAAATTGTGTATTTTTATTAGTTTTTTTAAAAAAAAAAAAAAACATTGTTTAAGGTTCTTGAAAAGAAAGGAGTTAAAAGTGTCTGCAATGTTACAAGTGCTGAAAGAGGAATCTTTGTCACAACTTGTGTAATAATCAGAGCTTCTAGATAAAATCTCCCAGCAGTACTTATTTTTCCTTCTGGATTTCTGGATTTCGTATGCAAAACAGGCTGCATGAGCAGTGAAATCTTTGTGGATCTTTTTGAATCACTTTATAAGATTTATAAGAGCACTAAAGAAAATTCATCGTTACTAATATACAACATCTGCGAAGCTCACTTATCCATAGCAGTATTAAATAAAGCAAAGGAGCTTGGAGTGACCATTTGACATTACCACCTCATTCCACACACAAGTTACAGCCTCTTGATCTGAGTGTTATTGGACCATTTAAAATTGCATATAGTGCAGCAATTGATTCATGAATGCTCCACAATCCTGGAAAAATATTTACAATATACCAAGTATGCATGTGTAGAGCTTGTTTTTCAAAAAGCCAAAACACATTCCAACATTATAGTTGCATTTAAAAAACAGGTATATTTCCTTATGACAGGAACGTGTTTACAGATATTGATTTTATGCGCAGTTCTGTGACAAACAGACCTTTTGATGTTAAAAATAGTTGTATAACAAATAACGTAAACATTACATCTAAGAATTAAGCTTACCCATATCTTTCAACAAATGGAAACCCCGTTGCTTCTAATGTTAAAAATTTGAACAAATTGCGTTCTCCACTTATTTTTGATTCAAATAAACCAGTCGATACTAATGTTGTCATGTTTGATTCGTCCATATCATCATTCTTTTATCAGCTCTAAACAATTTAGAGGCTTTCCTAAAGTTGAAAAAAGAATTGTAAAAGAAAGAAAAGAAAAAATGGTCAATCTATAATTGCCACAAACACTCCTAAGAGAGATCGGATTGAGAAAAAGCCCTGCAATAAAAAGTTAGCCGAAGTTACCAAAGAAATACAAGTCAGTTTACAGAATAGTAATAAAAAACCACCTGAAAAGGACAATTCAGAAATGGAGCATTTAATGATCTCAGATGAGAAAGGTTTAATAATCCTAGAAGATGATATTTGTGATCGTGATATTAACCTTAAAGTGGACTTTGTATTAGTTATATTTAGAATAGCAGAAAAGACAACGCGTTGTATTGTAAAGGTATTGTATTCAAATTCTGTTATAAAAGAAGTTACGACCAGTTTTCCTCGCAAAAAATGTGGTATTTTTAAGATGCCCGATTCATCTGGCGTTTTGACTGTCCCTCGAATGGATGTTAAATTAATACTACCTCAACCAATATTTTCTGGAACAAGTAAAAGGTAGCATTGTCATTACAAATCTTTACTCCATTGGTGTCATTTTGATTTTAATCACAATGCAAATAACATCTACCTAACATTTTATAAAACATGTTTTCTGTTTACGACGGTAATTTTCCAATTGTTGAAAAAATAATAAAAATAAATGAAATCTTAAAAAGTCCCTGGATTATAAAGGGATTAAAAAAATCGTCAAAAATTAAACAAAAGTTATATACTATTTATCTAAAAACAAAAACACCTGTTAGCGAAAAAATATATAAAAACTACAAGTAACTATTTGACAAAATACGTAAAAGTCTAAAAAGAAATTACTACTTAGAACTAACTAATAAATGTAAAAACGACTTGAAACGCATATGGCAAATTATGAAAGAAATTACTGGGAAACAAAAATCATGCTTAGCTTTTCTGCCGCAGATGATTAAAGTTGATAACATTTGTTTACATTCCAAAAGCCATAGGTCCTTCTCTAACAAATAAAATTCCAAATACGACGACTTCTTTTAATGATTATCTCGTACCAATGGATAAATGAATTTGTTTCGATGAGTTAACCTCAGAATTATCTTTTAAGGAATTTGAAGTAGCTTTGAGTTCCTTGGAAAGAAACAAAGCAACAAAAACAGATGAAATTAATGGAAATATAATTATAGACTGTTTTGATATGTTAAAACTTTTTAAAGTTTTTAAAGCTTCTATTAACCAAGGAATATTTCCAGAACAATTAAAAGTTGCTAAAATTACTCATATCTTTAAAGAGGGTGACAGATCAAGTATTAGCAACTATCGTCCCATCTCTGTTCTTTCAGTATTTTCAAAAATTTTAAAAAGAATGTTTAATAGATTCAAAAATTTTAGAAAGAATAGTTTAATAGTTTAATAGAATATACAAACATCTCAACAAAAATAATTTAAGGTAACCTGGGGCAAAGCAAGACACTTTCAGGGAGAATGTTCATAACTTGAGAAGCTTGATGTTTCACTACTAGAAATTTTGCAGGCCACTAGCACATTATGTGTTTAACGATCACTTAAATAATTGTGGTGATAAGTTGTTGCATTGGTACATAATTAAACTCAAAATGGCAACCCTGTTTCACTTTCCCCAAAACCTGGGGCAAAGTGAGACAGATTTTATTTAAAAAAAAAACTAAGTAAAAATATAATTTTCAATATAAATTAAAGCAGACTTTGATAAATTCGATCTGAAAAAATATAAGAACGCAAATAAAAACACAAAGGTATCATTTTATAATGTAATTTTTCATTTTAAATCAAAAAACATGATAGGAAAAAATATCAATCAAAAACATAAAAAAAAAATCAAAATCAAAAATAATATCAATAAAAAAATACATATGCAAAGTTTCACGTTAGTCAACAAATTTGAATAAAATCTTTACACTTAAAAAGCAAATATTGCTTAATGTACAGTTTTCATGTACCCAAACACTACATACACAACAAGCCATCCAGTCGATTTGCGTATTATTGCAAATAATATTTCCCTTGACAAACAGGACAAAACCATTCCTCTTCATTATTTATCTCTTTTACAATCAAGCATTTCATTAGTTTTCTTTTCTTTTTGTTCTATTTTATATTTCTCTAATTTGATTTATTTTCATTGTCCTTTTCCAGTAATTTTTTTTTTCTTATTGTTCTTTTTTTTTTTTTTTTTTTTTCTATTTTTTTTTTTTCTGATTGTTCTTATCGTAAAATGATGATAGCAAGTTAAACTTCCGAAGTTTATAAATTTGCTATCGTAAACGTTTACTTTGACGATTTATTAAGTTTATAAACTTGCTTTCCTTAACGTTTACTTTGACGATCTTTTTCAGTAACTAGCGTTGTCGCACTTTCCCCGTAAATGTGAAGTTATATATTTCGTAAATATTTTTGAAACAAAATAATCAGACATAAAAAGAAGAATGAGATCTAAAAGATAACAAATAAATGATTACAAACTTAATAATATGTTTGTTCTATGGTAAAAAATAAACGCATACGTGGACTTTTTCCACAAAAAAAAATTAGTTTTGATTTTTTAATCAAATTGACGCAACTCGTAAGCTTTAAACCCACTTTTCTATGTTACATTATAGGAAAAAACTGATGGAAACTACAAAAAACATTAAACTTTTAATATAATAAACCAAAATTACTGTAGCATTTCAAAAAAATCTGTGCAATGCTTGAAAGCCTAAATGTCTCACATTGCCCGGTGTCTCGCTTTGCCCCAGATTACCCACCCTACTATATAACAAACAATTCGACTTTAAAAAAGGTAACTCAACGGAGCATGCAATAATCCAGTTTGTGCATGAAATCTCGAAATCTTTTGAAAAATCACAGTACCTGTTCGGTATCTTTATTGACCTATCAAAAGCTTTCGATACTGTAGATCATTATATTTTACTGCAAAAACTTAAATATTATGGAGTTAAAGGAGTTATAAACCATTTTAAGGCATTAGCTTTAAAATGGTTTAGAGGCCAATTTACAAAAAGAAAACAATTTGTAATTAGTAACGACGGTTATCAAAATAATTATCTTGATATCTTATGCGATGTTCCTCAAGGTTCAATCCTCGGACCCCTGCTTTTCTTGATATATATAAATAATTTAAATAAAGCTTCCAACCTTATAAGTATAGTGTATGCAGATATTACCAACCTATTCCTCTCAAGCAGTAATATATATGAACTCGTTACCATTATGAATAAAGAACTAAAACATATATCAAACTTTAAATTTAATAAGCTAACTTTAAATATTAATAAAACCAAATGGATTCTATTCCATTCGCATGCAAAAAAAGCGATTATTACCAACAAACTTGTCACAAATTTATACAGACGAAATTGAAATAAAAAATGATTCCATTACAAAAATCTTTGGGGTTTATCTTGATGAAAACATTTCCTGGAATCAACACATTAATTATGTTACTACTAAAATTTCAAAAAACATTGGGATTCTATATAAAACTCGAAACTACCTTAATACAAATTGCTTAAGCCAACTTTATTACTCTTTTATCTATAGTTACATAAATTATGCTAACACTGCTCAGTGGAGTAAATTAAAATTTCTTTATCGTCGTCAAAAACATGCGATCCGCATAATTAACTATGCTGATCGTCAGGGCCGTGGAGAGCTGGTACCGGGCCTGGGGTAATATCAAACTGACGGGCCCCCTCAGGGCTTAGGGCTTCAGACATATGAATAATACTACTTTTGATACAAATAATTTTTTAATTTGACTATATACAGTATTTTATTTACAAGTATATTTTAAATACAATACAGTGAAAAATTATATATAATTTAACTACAACAAAATTAAAATATATAAAACCTGTAAGTTAGATTAAAACTTTCCTCGCTTTCCTACTGGCAAAATCAGCAATTACACTGTCAAAATTGATCTTTTTTGCTAAATCACACTCCATCGCTAAAAGCCAGAAACTCTACCTTGCGTCATTGTTGATCTTAGATCATTTTTTATAAGCACCAGTCTGCTAAAAGACCGTTCAGCTTGTGCTACCGTAACTGGTAATGTACAAAAAATTCTCAGGCCAATACAAATGTTGGGGAAAAGACATATAAGTTTCAGGTCGTTGATTTTATTGAGAAGAAGAAAGGGGTCCAAATCATTTTTGATGTTAACATCATGGATAAATTTCAAATGCAAAAGCTCATCAATCAGCTCCATGGAAACATCATCCTTGTATTTATTCACAAAATCCTTACTCCTTCGGCGAATTTCTTCCTCTTCGTAATGATTATACTTCCAGAGAAAGTTAAAAGTTTCGTCAATTTCATATGCAGCTTCATATCGTCTACTGATATTCCCTATAATGCAGTCCAATAATATATAAAAAACGTTTTGTTTAAAATTATTTTCAGAATTTGATAGAGAAATTTCATCAGGTGTCTCATCAGCAAATCGCTTCCTAATTTTTCGTCTAGGTTCTGGAAGTTCTTGAGAAATGTTTAAGGTGTTTGCAACTAATTTACTCTCCACCATAATAGAATCCCATTTATCTCGAAGAGTTTTTAATTCATCAATTAGTCGTTTGATCTTGGTCACTTCTACATCCAATGTAGCATTCCGTGCTAGCAAAACAAGATTGGTGTAATTGATAGCAGTAAGTACTTTGAACCATATAGCGGACATCAGAATGCATTCAAACGATTCCATATATGAAATAAACCCATTTAGATCAGCACGATTTTCTATAGACAAGTTTAGGTTCCTTATATCAGCTACTGATTTGATTATACCAGGGTTGCGAATGGCTTAATGCAGTCCACTCTAGCTGACCAGCGCGTTTGGGACATGCTATGAAGAGACGAACCAATATTTTTTTAAAAAATTTCCCGTCTTTGAAGACTGCTACTAAATATGTTATACAGTTTTTGCACTATCCCAAAGAAAGTTATTACTTGAGGACAACATTCAGCAGCTTGTGCACCGCATAAATTCATACTATGACAAGCACAGGGAGAGTAAGTGGCAAGTGGATAATGTTGAAGAATTCGAGCCTGTGCTCCCTTGACTGAACCTTTCATATTACTCCCATTGTCGTATCCTTGTCCACGACAGCACATCAGTGGTATTTTATGTTTCTGAAGAGTAGAAGTAATTATATTTGCAATATCTTCACCAGTTTTTTATTGCAATCTACAAATTCCAGAAATCTCTCTTTTACCTCATATTTTCCTGTCAATTTGTCCTGTAAGACGTATCTTAAAATAAAAACATTTTGCTCAATATGAGCTGTATCAGGCGTTGCATCCACAATCATTGAAAAATATTTGCACTTCTCCCTCTCATCTAATATCACATCTGTGACTTTATCTGCACAGCACTGAATAAACTCATTCTGGATATCATTTGACAAATAATGTGCTTGCATTCCCTTATGGCTCTGTTGAGAAGCTTTTACTTTTTCGAGATGATCATGTAGAATGGAATCGTAATGACCAATGAGTTCCATAATTCCCAAAAAATTCCCATTTTTGGGGTCACCAATTAGATGACTATCGCCTCTAAATGCAAGACCTCTTTCACCTAAAAACAAGATAACATCTAATACTCTACGAAGTATTTGCTTCCATCTTTCCACTTCTGTCTTTATATTATCATTTAGTAGAAAATTGATAGTTGTATTATCTCTGAGATTTTCTTCTAATCGTCTCCATTCTACATAACACATCTTATGCCCACTGCTGGATTGATGATGAGGAATTTTTTTATAAAGTTTCTTCCATTTATTGTCCTTGGGCTTGGAATATCCTGTTGGCAGAGATAATGCCGATCGATGGGTTTCTGGCATTTTAGAGAAAAGTCGGCAGGGAAAACAGTAAAGGGCATTCTTCGTCTCACTCCACGTTAGCCAATCTCGTGGAATTTTTTCGCCATTTGGCATGGCAATGTGAAATAACGTGCGCGGAAATGATTTAGGCAATGCATCTTTTGGAAATTTTGTTGGGTGAACAATGGGTCCATGATGAACAAATTTTTCTATTTGTTCAGCAGTGCAAAATAATTCCTTAATTAAACCAATATCATAGTTATTTAATGGAACTAGTTGGACATCATCTGCCTTGTCTTGTAATTCTTCTAGCCTTGCAGTTGATGTCTTTGGAAGAATATTTTCATTTTCGTCTATTACATTCTCTTTCACATCAGCACTCATAACTTTCCTATTTAACAATTCATCTTCCTCAATTGGCACTGGCTCTACTTCAACATTTGAGAGTTGTGACTTCATCTAGAATTAATAGTCACATCTGATCCTCAGAAACACCATCAATACGATTACAATTTATAAATCCAAAAGACTCAACCGTACTTTGACCCTTCTTGGCTGATTTTTCTCGAGCAATCTTTTCTTTTCTTTTTTGAGCACCAGATTTATGCTGGTAATGATCCATAGCTGCATGTAGTAGGCTGCCTATGCGAGGTCCTGTAACAATAGAACAAAAATTTATTAGTTAAGTTAACAAGTAAATTGACAAATTAAAATAAATGACAATTAATAATTGTTAAAAGTTAAAATAGAAGTTCAGTTTAATGTACAGTACAGTATATACTGTATAAATAAAATAGATATATGTATAAATATATATATATAACTTTATATATTAAATTATATATATATATATATATATATATATATATATATATATATATATATATATATATATATATATATATATATATATATATATATATATATATATATATATATATATATATATAGGCCTATTATATATATTATATTATATTATATATTTATATTATATATATATATATATATATATATATATATATATATATATATATATATATATATATATATATATATATATATATATATATATATATATATATATAGGCCTATTATATATATTATAAAACATGGCATGAGCAAGGAACTTACGAAAAACCTGCGGGCTGGTGCCCTATATTTATTTTTTAAGTTTTAGAGGCTATTAGTCTCCGTTTTTACTCTCAAAAGCGTATTTTCATTAAATAAATTAAATTATTAATAAAGAATAGATTTATCCTATCAATATTACATAGTAAATTTATTTATTTATCTAACTGATGAAGTGATGCAGACACAATGTTGCTTGATGGGGATTGGCTGATTACCTGGAGACTGGGACCTGATAGACTAAGAGACCGATGATGATGGGCCCGGGCCCCTACGGGCCCGGGCCCGAGGAAAATACCCCCTCTGGCCCCCCCTCTCGTTGGGCCTGCTGATCGTTTTACACATTTAAAACCTATTTTTACTGAAATGAGAATATTAAATTTATTTGAACTCAATGTATTTAAAGTTTTATGTTTCGTTCATTTATGGAGAAATAATTTATCCCCTACCGCTTTTAATAATATTTTCAAACTCAAGCCTAACAACAAACACGATATGAGAAACATAAATTTTTTAAATGAACCGTTTTGTCACACAAAAACATTTTTTCACTTGATAATATACTTATTTATTTCTAATATTTTGAAAATTGTTATTTGACTTGGGTTTTATTACTTTTTTATTTTACTTTATTTTTTGTATGTTATACTTGTCTTTATTTTGCTTGCTTGTATTTTATAAGGTTCTAACGACAAGATCTTCTGATCTTTTCTCAGATTCTAGCTTATGTTTAATTGTTAGCAATTTATGTGCGCATCTAAACATCTGTAAGTGTATATATGCTTATATTTATATATGTGAGTGTTTTTCTTATTTTAATTATACTGGTATTGGAATTTTTTTTAATTGTAACACCATATATACAGCATATTTGTACTGTGACATTTTAATGTAAGCAAAATTAAAAAAAAAAAAAAAGTTTGAGTTTGTGCTTGACTATAATAATTATTCGTTAACTATTAATTTTATTGCTAATATAATATATGCTATTAAATTGTTACTGTAATATTGCAAATGGAACTTTTTTTAAAATTTGTTATTTATTTTTTGACTTTAGCAGTTGTTGTTTTTTTGTTGTTGTTGTTGTTAAGATATGTTATGCTTATGACTCACTCTTACCCGCGTATGGGTAGGAGTGAATACCTGCATTATTTTTTAAGTCTATAAAAATCTGAAGATATTGTGATACACTACTACATACAATATTAAACCCTTATACGGTATATTAAAACATTATACGTTATATTAAAACATTATACGTTATATTAAAACATTAAACGTTATATTAAAACATTATACGTTATATTAAAACATACGTTATATTAAAACATTATAGGTTACATATGTTAATTAAATAAAAGTAAACATCGTGATACATGAAAAGCAACAGCAACTCAATCGACAGAGAAAAAGGCAAAAAAAATAAATAGGGAACAGTGGGGCACTATGAAACATTGTAATTTTTGAAGTATCTTAAGAGTTGTGTCAACCATTTTTTATATGAAAATCTTTCCTGGAATAGTATAAGTAATAAATAAGTAATATATATTACTGGTATGGTATAAGGTAAAATAGGTATGGTAAAAGGTATACTACCAAAGCTATTATTCTGAATTTCGAATATTTGTAACTTTTGTCAAGAACAAAGATTTTCTGTTTTGTATTATTAATATAATGTGCAGTAATATCCACCATTTTTCTACCGAAATTCTAGCTATCACATTTATACTATATGGTCCTTAAGTGAAGTACAAATTACGCTTTCATATAAATATGACAAAAAAAGACAAATATTTAACATGTTTAAAGTAATACTCTAAACATTGAGCTCTTAAAATAAGAAAACTTTGGCATCATATCAACTCGAGGTAATTGTTGCCAGAATCTTGTTTCATCTCACAAAAAAACTATTGATTCATTAGTTCAACACAGCAAAGATAAAATTTTAGTCAACAAATATTTTTTTGGTTGTAAAAATAACTACATACAGCAAAAGTACAATTTTTAGCATTTGTAAAAACTGGCATAAGTGCGAACTGGCTTAAGTACGCTAAATGAATTTGCAAATATTGTCATAAATGCGAACAGGCATAAGTGTGAAGTAGTTGCAAAAACTGGCATAAGTGCAAACTGACATAAACGCGAATTGGCATAACGCGCCGAAAGAAATTGCAAACATCAGCATAAGTGTGAATTGCTTTTAATTTTGTGCCAATTTTTAATTTAGTTGGTGCCATTTTGGTTTTAAAAAAATTGTTCAACATAACACGTTATAGTCGAACATCTCAAAATCTTTTAAAAATTTCACATAAGGAGTATTTATTGACTTATCTAAAGTCTTTTTCTTTTCTTTTTTTATAAAACTTTTTTTTTTTTTTTTTTTTTTTTTTAGTTTACAATGTTAGTCGTGTTACATACTAAATAAGTGATAATACTATTGATTCATAAACATAAGTCGTAATACAACTTCGTAAATGATACAATTTAGCATACTAACAAATAAAAACTAGAAGACCCTAAGGATCTTACAATTAAAACCTTAAAAAGTAAGAATATTTATTTATAACATATATATATATATATATATATATATATATATATATATATATATATATATATATATATATATATATATATATATATATATATATATATATATATATATATATATATATATATATATATATATATTAAAGATTTAACGTATTTACATGCAAAGATACAACACATTTTAATATATAATAAGCTGAAGATTTAACAAATAGATTTTTCATACATTTTCAGTAGAATTTTAGAATGTTGTCCGTAGAGAGAATTTTTTTAACTTAATTTTAAAAACAGGAAGAGTAATAAAAGGGTCAAAATTTGGTAATACTATTTTATTCCAAAGATGGCGTGCACGTTATGAATTATAAAATTGATTAAACTTAATTCTACAAAAAGGTTTATTTAAAAAACTATTATTTTTTAATGTGTATTTATTTATTGGTTTTAAAGAAAAAAGATCGTTAAGAACAAATAAAGATAATTTGTTTTTCCATGTAAAAGTAAAACATAAGACATTAAATATGTTCAGTTTAGAAACATCTACCCATCTAGCACACATACGTTGTTAAAACATTAGAACAATGTTACGCGTTTCGTTGGCCCAACATCGGCTGCCAACGTAGTTTTATATCATTATGGTTACAAATGCGACGTCGCCAACAACTAAAAACCAATGTTGATAAAACGTTTCTTTAAAGTCGGAAAATGGTTATATTTTCTACGTTGATTCAACGTTATATTTTATAGGTGGGCCCAACGTTGTATTTTAAGTTGGCAAAACGTTGTATTTACGTTGATTCGACGTTGGACTTTAATTGAAAAACCGTTGTATTCAATATTATTCGGAAATAGATTTTCATTAAATTCTATTTTCTTTATATATATATTTCCTTTTTGTGGTTTTTTTAATTTTATATTTTTTTGTATTTTTGTATTTTATATTTTTTGTGTTTTTTGATTTTGTATTTTTTTGTATTTTTTGTTTTTTTATTATCGTGCCATTGTGCGGAGAGAAATCGGAAGGTTTGAAAGAGTTAAAGAGGAAGATGTTTTAGAAAAAAAAATTACAAGTAGTTTTTATTTAAAGGAAGAAATTTATAACAAAATAATAGAAAAAAAATTACAAGACTTTTACACAAACACCACATTACGTACGCTACAGAAAATAAAGGCTGGCAGTGATTGTTTAATCATAAATAATAATATTTTGTTGTAAAAATAATAATTCGTAGAGAAATGGAAAACATCACTAAACATATAGTTCTTTTTATTGAGCTAGTGTTTCAGCTTAGCTCATATGTTTAGTTTTAGGTTCCCATTCTCTACTTGGCATATTATATTTTTAACACAAAATAGTTGACAGAAAATGTCCGTGGTGTTTCTGCGGACATGATAATTATATTTTTTTTTAATTTTTTTTTATTTTAATTCACCTCCTCAAGGCCGAGAAGGCCACTACAGACGAGGAGGCTACTTATTTGTGGCTATAACCCTCTCTCAACTCTATAACTCCGAAACACGAACCTTGACGAACAAGGCCTCTGCGCGGAGAAACGAGTTGAGCGCGGTACTACCAGGGACGTGGTGGGGATCGAACTCGGAACCACTCGTTTATAAAGCGAGCGCTCTACCACTACACCACTACCGCAATTTTAATGTAATAACATTCCTGATTTTCCTAACTATTACCCTGATCACTGCAATTGGGTCAATTTTTATGTTACTAAACATGTGGCGACATCTGCTGTTCCATATCTCACTCATGATGGTTTGAGTGAGTGTCA